CGTGCCTCGCATGAAACCCATGTGCATCACGTAGCGTCCATTCCCAGCTCCGTCATTCATACGCGCACGTTCATTAGACACATGAATGACGCTGCGCGACGCGCTGAGAATCTTACTCAGTACATGAAAAAGCGCTCCGCGCATGCGCACACCCATCTAGCTTGACTTATTCGCTTCAGCGCGTTATAATTGTTCGCATTACAAGACTTAATGCCTCATTGTTGATCGTCACGCGTTCGTGCACAATCCGAACTTGACTTAAGTCGGATCAAAATACTTGACTTAAGTCAGTTCCATATATGCAAATTACAAAGTGGACAATAAAAGCGACGCGTTGATTAACCAATCAGTACATTAAAAAGTAAACAATCAGCGTAGAATGCTGAGAAAGGTGAAATAAGGCGTAATCAGAAAAGGAAATGAGCAAATGAGAACAATTAACAATTGACTATACACGGCTATGACTACTGTTACTGTTATTCGTTCGTATTATGCGTTTGTTGTTTCCTTATCTTGTGAATTCGTGTTGTGTTTTTTTCGGCCGCAGGAATTTGCATACAATCGAAGAATGGAAACGAAACTAAAAGGAAGAATGAATAAAATAAAAACAAAACAAAAACGTGATTTTCACATTGAAAACAATGCTTAAATTATCAATAAAAAAAGTTTAAGAGATTTTAATTGAGTAGTTATAAGATAATTTTGGAGAAAATGCTAAAATGTACATATTTTCAATATTTTAACTTTGAGTCATGATAACGGCTAAAGTTCAAGTGATAACAAAATATTTTACTAAAATAATTTCTAGAGAATTTAATGGTGAATATCATATTTTCTGAAAATCTCAAAAATTTTAAATAGTTTTTGAGATATCGCTCAAAAACTATCACATGTTATGTTTATTAATAATAATTTCTGTTTTTTGTTTACAAAATCATGGATAATTCCCAAACTATTAATCACAATTTAATAATTTAAAAACAGTATGAATCAGTAATAAATTCTCCTTGTTTTGACGTTTAAACCAATGCCCTATCATTTTTCTTCGCCTAGTTATCTCCAACTTTTCTAAAACCTTGAATTCTCTCCTCTGAAACTAGTGCAAAGTAAGTCGGTTAGTGAGCTTAAACCAACTCATGCCTTAAGTCCGATCATGGCTTCCATTATATTCGTCTTTATCTCCACAGCGCTTGCCTGCAGGCGTTCGCCAGACTTAAGTCAACTCATACCTGACTTAAGTCAGAGATGCGCTCATCTCGCAGACGCATCGTTGTTATGCTCCGCCTGGCACAACGATAAATGCGTCGATGCGTCGTTTAGTTTCGTTTAATTTTCGTTTATCTCTTCCACGCCGACCGCACACGAGCACAAATTTGTTTATTTTAAAGACGCGTTCATCAATCACTAACCGCCATCGAATCGGAATGCGTGTACTACATGCAGTTACACAACATTTAAAGCTTAATGCCGACTTAACTGTTGGGTCTGTTTGCCCAACACTAACGAAAATGATAAAGTATTCGATTAGACGTGACGCCATCATGCCACAATCGATATCATCATAATATCGTCATGTAACTTTACATCAACTTTCCAGACTGACTAATAGACGCATGGAAAAATTTCTCGGCGCGTTTTGTTGGTAATTTCATGGGGAATCGATATGCGTAATCGTTTTATAAAAATCTTTAAAGAGATAAAAGTTATGTCAAATTTTATGATGGAATGGTGTTTTCACTTTTTATGTATTAACCTAATATTTTGGGATTTTGAGTCGTAAAATATTTAGTTACATAAACGGAAGTAACATGGAATAATAGATAATTAACGTAGGATTAATTCGGTGTTAATATTAGTCTTTTTTAGTGCGTAATTTGGCCGTGAGAGGTCGACAAACTGGAATTTTGTGGTGTGAAAATGATGTATGAATAGCTTCTTTGTCTTAATTTGTCTGTATCTCTGAGATCATCTGCGGTAATTAAACTTTCTCAACGGCGTTAGACAGTGAGATAAATCAGGTTTAAGTTTTGTTCGAAACAAATTTATGTGGCTTGTTTAGTTTGGGAGTTATAGTGCTCTAAAGTTAGTAATTGAAAGTTGGTGTTCAAAAATGCAGTAGTGAGTTTATTTGTTTATAACTTTTACAGTTTTTAATATATTTTAGCAAAATAAAAACTAGTTCATAGAGTGTTAAATTTTTAATATATTATCTTAATAAATAATTTCTCTAAAATGTCTAATTTAACCGCTAGAGGGCTTCAAACATACATTTTGAAAATACTATATTAGCTAGTTGAATTTATAACATAATAGTTATTACACTCATGTTGCTCATGTTAAATTACATCAATTACATCTGCCGTCAAAGTTTTATTATGAGCGATTGCAACAAGAAGCAATAAACTCGCCTAAACGACGTCGACATTAATCAATGCTCATGAAACAATGCGCTTCGTGCGTCCATGCGCAACGATAACTCGACTTAATTGAATTTGCATTCGCTGCATCCATGACTTTTGACTCGAAGACAATCGCACGAGAGGGGCCGGTCCTGATTGAGTGTAATTGACGTAATTGCATTCGGCGGCGGCATTGTCTTCTTCGTGGCCGCATATTTCTCCGCCGGTTATTTCTGTGGAGTTTTCGTAGGAAGCGCTTCCACTGCTTCCACATCGAGCGGCGTGCACTACACCGGATCTAGAGTTCATCGACTTGCTCGGGCGACTTCCACTATTTTTACGACGACGCCGACGCCATCGACGCCGGCGACGTGTGGACAAGTTATGTAAACAAGCGCGAGTCAATTGAATGAGAGAAATGAGTTTTGATTTTTGCGCCATCTACAGGCCATAATAATTTAAATATTTGAAATATTTAATGGCTACTTTGTTAATAATTTTATTAGCTGTCGAAATATATACAAAGTTTTGTTGTATTGTTTATATTTTGCTATTTATTTGTAAAATAAGTAAAATTTGCATTTGAAGTGAGGTTTTTGGTAATGCGCAGTTTAATGCCATCTAGCGGTCAAAATATAAGAGCTATTCGAATGATTCAAAGTGGAAATGATAGAAAAATAAGTAGCTTCTATAGAAATTTTATAGTTTTAAAATATTGCAATTTGTTAAGGAAATATCTTAAAAATAAAAAACCATCACAAAATTATTTAGCGATAAACACATTTTTAAAAGTTCAAGTTTAACTGCTCGTAGCGACCAAAGTTTAACCTCAAATTTAATATATTTTAGTGCAAATGATAGATTATGTATTTATCAATTTTTGTGCGTTAAGACGCTTAGTTTTTACCAATTAGTTTTTGAATAATCTTAAAACTAAAACAAATGTAAAATTTTTCAAAAATTATTTTTATGCAAATTTAGAGTCATCTGGCGGGTAAACCAGTAATAACATCAACATGACTCACCCGCCATGTTATAAACAATTTTATCAGCTACTCCATGGTCTTTATTTTATTACAGTGTGACTAATACTTTAGAAGTTATCCGCGAAATAAAACAAAAGGGCAAAATAATACTGTACATTTCCCGTGCCAGTTGAATATTTTGACTTAAGTCATGTAACATTAAATTAAGTCAAGTTAGTTCTCAGTGGACAAGTCGACAATTCCAAAAGGAGCACTTCCGGCGTGGTTACGTGCTCGCACACACGATTGTGCACAATATGCAGTACGCTCTTACTTAGGTAACGCACACATCGCACTTAAGTCACATGTACTGAGAAACAAGTAGGTTTCCACTTACACTAGGTGCTACAAATAAATTTGATCATCGGGATATCATATTGTCATATTTATCGCCAGTGAGAGTCGGATTCGAGAGGAAGTTGACTCATGAATGGATCGGGATGTTTAAACATCTATAACACTCAAAGTATTATTGCTAGAAAGTTTTATGTGGTCATAAATAATAAAGATATTAATCTACTATCAATATTTGCAGTCAATGTTATGATATTTGTTGTTTATTATGCGTGACTGACACAAATGTTTGAAAAAACAAAATTGTTAAAGCATTTAATATCACAACTTTAATTACGTTTAATTAAGAAACTAATAATTATATGAAGGTCACAAATAGATTATTTTATAGATAATTTAATTATCTATCATTTAGTTTTTAAATTTTAATGATAAGATAATAAATCTCTCTGTTAATCCCATTTTACTAATCGATGTTACAAATTATCTAATATGATGAATTGCAAGTTTGACAGCTTGTAACTAGGTCAATTTTATAGATATTTCCAATTTGTAACAATCATTGTCTAGATAATTTATCTATAAACAATAATGTTTTTACAAAATGCCAATATCTCATCTCAATCGGAAGTTAGAGCTTAAAACGTAACAGCGTGGCTTTCGCTTGATTTTCCCAAGTGACTTAAGTCGCTTCTGTCAACACTCGATAACTGCAAGTATGTTTTCGCATACCTACGAAAATATAAATAACGAATGCAGGTGTGTCTCGGACTCTTTGGAAGCTTTAAATAACCATCGCATTGCACCTTACTTACGTTAAGACGGTTGTTGATTTACATCAAGGAACGCTTCTTTGCGCGCGCGTGTTCTGACTCATTTCGTTTGTGAGTTTTTCTTCTTTTTAATGCGACAACGCATGCACATATGGATGATTTATTTAAGCGCGCGCGCAAAGCGGAAATGCGCGCGCTCGCTTACTGCGCATGCTAATTTTACTTATTTACATACTTTATATTCATAGGCCCGAATATTGATGGTGGAGGTGAGGAGTTATAAGCGGAAATTAAGACAAATTAAAGCAAGTTTTTAAAGAGAAAAGTTTAACTTAAAATTCTGACGAAATCTTAAGTCTAATTTAAAAAAGTTACTTAAATAAATTATAAATAATCTTTTTATGCATCATATTATTTTTAAATAATTATTTTATCTATAATAGTTTTGAAGTTACAACAAAAAATATAAAAATTTCCAAAGTGACTTAAGTCATTTTTCATTGTTTCAGCACGCAAACGCAGTTAAAGTCCATGCAGCTGAATACGTCCGTAGAAAGGAAGCTCGCCGCCTCCAGATGACAAAGTCGACGACAGGTAGCCTCGCGCAGGCGCAGACACTCGTTGAAATACCGGAAGTCAAGTACCGCTCAAGTGCCAAGGCGGGCACGTTCTTCGCCAGGTCAGTTGTTAATTTTATCCCGTGCGGCGTGCGAAATTTTCGGTCGGCCGCGCCGGCGCCATCTTGGAATGCGCGCACATACCTGTGCGGTTATTTCTGATGGCGATTATTTCCGACCTGAGTTTCCAGGTCGACTCATTATACGATTTCCTTCACAGGGACAACCTGAGCAACTTTATTCAATGGTGCCGGGAATGTTTGAAAATCCTGGAATGTTTACTCTTCGAATCGGATGATTTGATCATGAGGAAGAATGAGAAGCATGTCATTCTGTGTCTTTTGGAGGTTGCACGACGTGGTGCTAAGTATGTTTCTATTTAGGTTATGTTGAATTTTGTTATTTTTGTGTTGTTTTTTTGGTTAGGTTCGGAATGTTGGCTCCGATGCTGGTTCAAATGGAGCGTCAAATTGATAGGGAGATTGCTGCTGATCAGAGGATGCAGGCGAGCATGATGTCGGAAGCCATTGAGGAGAATAATCAGGCTGATGATGAGGAGAGCGATAGTGAAATGGAGGATGAACAGCCTATGATGATGTATGGACCTATTCCACAGATTGTTACCAATGACTTGAAAAGTCTGGATGAAATGGTAAGTCAATTTATTTTATTTTTATCTTGGGAACTAGAAAAGATATTTGATTTCTGTAAAGGGTATTTAGAAGCTATTAAAATGGCGCGTGTTAGAAAAATTTATGAGGTTAATGGAGTTTATATTATGGCCGTTAGAGGCGCTCGAAGTTGTAGTTTACTGGAAAGTATATCAAAAAATATGTTTTTACTTAACTTAAGATATCTAAAGAACTATTTAAGATATTTGAATTATTCGAAAACATTTAGAAAGTATTTGAAATTCTGAATTATAAACAAGTTCGATTGTTTTTGGGGCTTATTTAGTTTGACCGCTAGAGGCGCTCAAAGTTTTAGTTATTTGAAAAGTATTGAAAAAATCTGTTTTTACTTAACTTAAGATATCTAAAGAACTATTTAAGATATTTGAATTATTCAAAAATATTTCGAAAGTATATGAAATTCTGAATATTAAACACTTTTAGTTATTTCTGTAGCTTTATTAGTTTGTCCGCTATAGGCGCTTAAACATAGTTTTTAAAAATTTGCTAAAAATTTTCTAAAATGACGAATATCTTAAAAACGAACAAACATAACCTACAAATTTAAAAACCTACTTTAAGCAAAATTTATACCAATATAGTAACTTTCAGATTTTTTCAAATACCTCTGCTAGTTTTCGCATAATCAATAAAAACCCAACTCGAATCTAAAAAATTCCCAATCGCGATTTGTCGTCGTGCTACTCTTTGTTCGATTGAACCCCGGCATCCAATTAAATTCCCTCTAACTCGATGTATATCAAAACGGGTTATCGTTATCCTCGCCGCCTGCTGGAAGCCAACACTTACGAGCCGCGATTCCCAGCCGGCTGCAGCGGCAGCGCTTCGTGAATCTCCACCAATCTCGCCATCCAAGTCGCGACTTCTTGACTCTTTTTCGCCAAGTAGCCGCTGGTAGCAGCAGCCGGTGAGAACCGAGCGTCGATGCACGATTGAGACATCGCGCATAATATAAAACGGCGATGCAATAAAAGTCGCGACATAAATTGATCTGTCAACTTGCGAGCGCCGTACGTGCGCGCTCGCACGCTGTGCAACGACGACATATTTCCGTCGATTTTATTGCTGCTTGCCGAGAAAGATATTCTGCATAAGCGTTTGTTATGCTGTAGGGATTTTATTCGTAAAAAGTGAAAATTGTGGGGTTTTATAGTTTTTTAAGGATAACTTCTGAAATAATTGGTTAAAATGAATTATTTAAAAAGGGTTATGTTCAGGGATAAATTCTGCATCATTTGATGTATTGACAGTTTTTATTGAGTTTGTATTATGAACGCTAGAGGGCCGTAAAGTTATTTTTTCTTATTTAAAAAGTAATTTTTTAATTATAAGCAGAATAACTTTTAAAGTAAATTTAATAATTCAAATCTCTAAAATGTCAATGATAGCCAATTAAATTATCTATCATTTGATACCCCGATAATGATTGTAGCTCTAATATTTTAGCCGCTAGATGGCCTCAAAGTTCCAACTTTGTTTCGCTTACTTTCCATTGCAGTACTTTAAATCCCTCTATCGGATAAATTAAAAACTTCTGAGTATTATATATGCCCACATATTATGAGAAATATATTTCTCTTTCACATGCATTTTACAAAACTTGTCCACGACTCTCGGTTATCGTGTAAAACACTCTTTTGTAAAAAGTTCACACAATCTCTTCCAACAACACTTAAGCACACACTTAAGCAAGTAAACTTAAGTCAAGTCCCCAGGTCCGAAAGCACACTTTAAGAGTAGTAGCCGTGTACACGTGTAATCAGATGTGTGTTTCGCAACTATACAACTGCGCATGCGGTTTCTCGATTTCATCAACTTAAGCGCGCTTAAATATGTTAAGCATACTCGACACGATGATTTTTTCGTCTTCCAGCGTGCATCGTATGTATGTACACCTTGCGCAGCACCGCCTTCTATGTTTTCATATCGATTGGGCCATTTTATTGATTTATTGATTTATAGGCGCTCCACTACGGCATAACCGTTAAGCGTCCCATAGAGAAAAATGTTTGTAATAAGAGCACCGACGGGCGAATTATTTGCGTGGGCTTCCCTGAGCAAGTGTGCGCGCATGGATTAAGTAAGAAGTGAGTTTTCAATTTGCGCGCACCGCACTGGCTTAAGTCGTGTGCGCAGTTGCTTTCCTCAGGTAGGTCGCGTGGGCGCGCATCTCGCCGCGCGCGGGTCGTAAAGATCGCGGCTCGATTGCGAATCCTTCTGCGCACTGCGAATTAAAACGTCTCGCATTTTGTGCGACGCATTAAAATGTTGCTGAGTTGAGTATGCTCGTAAACTATTACATTTATTTGACTTAAGTCACTTCGAAATGTGCGTATTTCCGTTGATTTTTTACTAAAACATTGATTTATTGATCAATTTCGATTGGAATTTCATTTTTTTAAACGCTAAGTTGAAACCAGATACATTTACTATCATTTTCGTTAGAAGTATTATTTCATGCGATTAGTATTTTGTCCAGTAGAGGGCGACAAAGTGTCATTTATAAAGTATATATTTTGTATACCACTACTTTAACGCCATCTAGCGGTTGTAATTTTTATCGCAGGGCAATTTAAATATTGAAATATGAAAGATAATTTATTTCTTTATGATGTAGTAAAAAATTAATGTTGTAACGTTATTAGTTTAACTTTTATACGCTAAAAAATAAGAAAAAAGAAATTAATTTTGCTCAGTTTTGAAAAATCCACAATAGTATTTTTTACTATTTTATTTATTACTGGAAAACTATTAAAGATAAAACATCCCTTTAAAAGCCAAATTAAAGATAAATAAATTGCCCAAAGAATTGTCTTAATTGTTTACAAAAATATTTATTATCTTGTTGATTACAAGCACTTAAAGTTAAACATTTGAAATAAGCCATTCATTAAAATTCCCTAAATACAAACTTTAAGGCCCTGCCACGTCTAAAATATAAAAAATATTTGAATCAAAATACAGTCATCTTATAAACAATTTATTTATTAATAATAATCTTTTTGAAAAAGTTAAAAATTTCTATTAGTTTGAGAGTTATGATAAAAATACTAAAATATTCAATAAAAGGTGATAAAAATCATATTTACACTCTATTAATGTCGCATTGACACTAATCCAGACTGCATGACAAACATGGACAATACTTGAATAAATAATTATTCGAGCGCACACAGCCGTGACCCATTTCGATAGTGTATTATCACATGGCAAGACGTGAGCGTTCGATTACTGATTAGGTCATTCTATCATTTGCTCATTCCGATCGATTGCGCAGCCAACGATCCGAAAAATAAATTCATAAAAAATACACACACATTTTTCGAAACATATTATTTAGACATCCGAGATGCTTATCGCTTACTAATCGACCACGACAACAATAAAAAGTTCAAAACTTTCTACGAGCGAAAATAAAATGTGAAAAACACAATAAAAATTAGCTATTGATAACCCAGGGCGATAATTAAAATATAAATTTAGCAATTTATTGATTTATTAGTTTTATTTACGTGGGTAAAAGTGAAAATTGTTCGTAAAAAAAGAAAAGTTTTTTATTTTATTTTTAATTGTAATTATCTACAATTAGTCTCGATCGTGAGTTTTTACTGTCGAGATAATTAATTAATTCTTCGCATCGTAAAGTGTAATTAATTTAATTAATCAGGCGTAGACAAACACCAACTTAACTTTTGCTTTCTTTTGGTTTTATTTACAAATTATTTTATTGATTTTTAATTTTTGTGTTAAGAGTTGAAAGTAGTTTAGAATCGCGACAATTTGCGTTGGCAGACGTTGGAATTCGGCATAATGCGATATTATTATTAGCCGCCTTGCTCTGTTTCTTGCGTTTATTATTTATTAATAAATCGGGCGCAAATTAACTTCTGTCAAACATTTGTGAACGCGCGTCGAGAACATGAAACCGTTGAGATTATTGCCTAGAACTAAGATTTGACGATAGCCAAGATAGTGAAATGAAGTTATTGCGCAGTATAATTGTTGTAGTATATGTTACATTAGCTTATTTTATTATTACCCACGTAAAATTTGAGTTATGTAAAGTTTTATTGAAGAATTTTCATAATTTCTCAGGATTAATGTTAGTTTACTTTATGTTCAATCGTTAATAACTTTTGATGTAGAAGAGATATTTAAGATGTTAAAACAGTTATGTTTAGTTAATTTAATTATTTATTACATAGAGTTTAGTTACATAAAATATTTAGTTAAATTTAGACGATACAAGGTGTTAAAAATAAAATTTGAAGTTTTTTCTGAAGTATTAAGTTTTACGCCATCTAGCGGGGTAAATATTTATTGTATTATATATTTGTTTAAACAAAATATTTAGATTGTTTATTTCTTTACAAGTAGTTCTTTACAAAAATTAATTATCTTTATTCGTTCAGTTGTTATCATCAAAATAGTAAAATAACTTTTTTGTCAAAAGATAATTTATGAGGAACAATAATGATTTTTGTCATAAATTTATTAATAACAACAAAACTAAGAATAATATGTTAATTATTTTCGGACTATTTTATTGCTAATTAAGTTCTAGACATTTTGATTTCTAAAATTTTCTTTTTCCGTTATAACTTTACCCGTTAGACGGTGTCAAAGTACTTGTAATTAAACCGGTAGTTTTTTATCATGTTTGAATAAAAATTGAAATTATGCTATCCACACACATTGTTTAAATATTTGCGCAATGGCAGCTGAAACTAGATTAAATTATCTCTCACCGGAGCCCAAACATATGGCAGTGCGTTGTTTGTAACCCATTGTAAACGTTATCTAAACTTGGTGTTTACGCTCGTATTTTGTTTGCCACACATGTTTAACACACTTAAGTCTAGTTAGCTTACACACTTAAGTAGGTTTCGAATTGTTTCGACTTATGTCTCACGCTGCAATTTACACCCCGAGGTGTTCAATTACAAGCTGTAATGCAACGAAATAGAAAATAGCATTTAACAAATGCGACTTAAGTTAAGTATTGAAGTTATGGAGTTTATCTATTTCTGCTTTAGCCTTTTACGGACACAATTTGCAATTGTGTGCGCTGGTGGATTGTTATTAAAAGCGTGTTCGCGGGCAGAATGCGGAATCGTGCGCGGCGGGACGCCCGCCGCCGATCGATCTGCGCATGCGCGCGCGCCTTAAGCGGGCATCGCGTCGCTTTCTCGCATTTATTCTCTGCGCGGCGATTTTTCGCGGATCTGCGGATCGCCGAGGACGTAACGAGACCCGCGAGAGTTATGTATGATGATCGTGCGCAGTGCATTTTTTTTATCAATCAGGGAATGTTTCCTGCTTCATGGAGGTAAAAAAATTAACATGGATTGAAATTTTTTACATTTTTGTAAATATCTCAGGAACTAATAGAGATATTAATAATTTGTAAAAGTTTTTAAAAGTGAATTAAATTTATTATTCAGAACCACTAAATTATTCCATGAATTAATTTAAATATGGCCGCTGGAAGGCTTTAAACTTTTTACTTTAAAAAATAACAATTTTTGCATTTAATTTCTAGTTTCTAGTTTGAACCCGACCCGAAAAATGAGCTTTCCATCGTTTGTTTTCCTAGTTAATAAATAAAGTTCGTGTGCCACGATTAAGCACCGGCACCCGCGCGGGAAAGAATGGAAATCGAACAGAAAACGTTTTTTTCCATATTTGGCAACTGCGCGCGTGCACTGCACTAAGCACGCCGCGCCGGCGTCGTTAGTGCTTTCAGCGAAAAGCATAACTTTTAATCGTCGATAAGAAAAACGTAATAAATTTCATGGTGCGATATGCTCGATTTCGTCCAATTAGCGAAATTTCCCTTTTTCTTCGTTTTACAACAAACAAAGCACAATACACATAATAAATTTAATAAATAATAAACTTGATGTTTATATAAATAGTAATACATACTTAAAATATGCTTAGAAATTTATTTATAATGTTTAAACAACAAAAAACTAAAAATTTTGATTTTGAAATTTTTGTGTTTTTTAACGAAAAAATTAAGTTTATAGGCATTTCTGTTGCAAGTTACACCTGTAAAATTCTCATTACGTGCGTTACATGTGTCTACACGACATCCGTAATTGCGATTCGCAATCGCTGCAAGATTATGTTAAGTTATGCGGCATGCAAATGCGCAGCCGACGCACGAATCGCGCTGATTTACGGTGTGAAAGTGCACGCGGCTCGTTTTGAGGACATAACTCTCAAACAAATCCAGATAAATTAATTCTGAGAAAAGTATGGCGTTCAGCATTAAATTTCCTATCAGAAAAGTTTTACTTTAAACTTTACGTCATTAACAATTCAGCGCTAGCGGGCTTTAAAGTTAGAACATGTATAAAATTAAAAATTAAACTGACACTTTGTTATTAGCAAGATTACATAAAAAGTTTACGTAATAAATCAAATATTTAAAGTTTATATTAAATTAGATTAAATTTTCTTTCAAATGAGCCCTGTCGTATTATCGTATGATAATTCTAAGTATAATAATTTTAACTTTTAAAATCAACGATATTTTATTTTTAAATATTTTTCAAGTATTGAATGATAAAGTGGCTTAAGTCAGATTTGACTGTCTTTAAAGTGTACTTAACATACTCTTAACCTATGTTCCGATGTTGGACCATGTAAGGCTATCTCCAAAACGGTCATAATGCGCACTCGCAGGCACAAAAGTAATAAGTAATGAGCGCATGAGCGATTTGCGATTCGCGTCGGGATTCGATTGTTGCCGTTTGCGTGCATGCGAAGAACATTGCACAATCGTAAATTATGCGCGACATTTCAATATGTCATCGATGCACAGTCGATTATACAAATTACACAAACCACAACAGTAAAATGAAAATATTTCCTGATTTGCTTTTATGTAATGTCATGAAATATACAATTAACTTTTTAATTAATATTTCAGGTGCGTGACTTAGTCGAACGATGCACTTGCGCAACACAATTCCCTATGATTCGTGTATCTGAGGGAAAATACAAGATTGGAGATACCAAAGTGCTGATTTTTGTTAGGGTAAGTACCGCCATCTGTTGTGATTTATTGTTTTGTGCTATTGCGCATGCGCATTTAATAATTTTATATTTTATTTTTTGATTTTTTTAGATTTTGAGAAATCACGTTATGGTGCGTGTTGGAGGCGGCTGGGACACACTCAGTCATTATTTAGACAAACACGATCCATGTAGATGTCGCTCACAGCATCGTGTCATGCAGGGTGCCAAACTTGTGAATCGTATTGGGGTGGATCTTCATGGTGCACAGGTCATTTACGATAGGTAAGAAATAAAAATTTATTTTTTGCATTTTTGCGTTTTTCTCGGAAAGTATAAAAGATATTTAAATTTTGTAAATTGTGGATGATAAATGATTAAATATTTAATAGTTTGGTTAAAAAATTATTTTGGAATAATTAGTTGTTAGGTGGTTATTTAGGTCCAAAGTTGTAGGTTCATTTTTTGATTAAAAATAAAATTATTTTACTAAAAATCAAATTACATCTAAACTATATTATATAGAATAATTTTGTAAAAAGCCTTGGATAGACAATTAAATTATCTATAACATAACCTTTAAACTAATCTTCTACGTCAAATAGTTTAGCCCCTATGAGATTTTAAACATCAACTTGATTTTTTCAGATCTGGTATTGGAAACAACTCCACCCCTAACAACACCCCCGGCGTGAACACATCACCATCAAAAGCCTCCCTAGGCCCACCCATGAACGCCCTCAACCGTTCTCGTTCTCGCTCCCCATCAACCTACAATCAACACTTTGATCGTCGTTCAGCGAGTCCTTACACTCAACGTAAATCACTCATGCCCATTCCAGCAGCAAACCGTTCTCGTTCACCAACCCCCAACTTTGTCTCCACCCACACGACCAAACTATCCAGCCCCAAAAAGACCTATTCCAACATTCGAGGTGACTCTGGTCCGCAATCACTCCCACCTACATTTAGTGCAACAAAACCACGCCATCCGAGTAATCACGTGACACATCTACAACTCCCATCTGCCGAAGCCACGCCCACGAAGTCTTCAATCAAAACAGAGGCGGTGTTAATGGTTACCGGATCGGGTGACAGCACTGATCACAGTGATAATGCTTCGGAGGTCTCCGATGAAGGTTACAGGAGTTTAGGGATAATAGGTGATAAGAAACATAGGACGTCAGTGCATAGTCAGAATAGTATTGAGGATGCAGATGAAATAGGTTAGTTACAATACAATAAAATACAATAATATACAGGGTGTTTACAAAAATAAAAATTGATTTTAAAATTTTTCTTTAAATTTCAGAGCGTCCGGTACAATCCGATCAGGATCAAGACTATGACACAAATGACTGTGGTTTAAGGAAGACCGCATTTTCATCCCTTATTTACGGTGATGCTAACCCCATCATACCACCCACAATAAGAAAGTCACCTGAAAAACCCATCAAACTCTCCAAAAATCTTTCTGTAGTTAACCTAGTACCTTCCACACCAAAGGTACCGCCCTCACCGAAAAAGTCCGCCTCCTCGTCACGCCTTAACCTAACCCTCAACGGTAACGCAAACGTGAATAACACATGGAACGGCCGTCAACGGTCACGCCCTTCACTGACCAATGAAACATTCATACCACATCAACATCAATTCGCACGTAACTCCCCGGTAGGCGGAGCACATCAGTACCAAAATACGATAATAATGGCCGCAGGGTTTCACAATCAGCTTCTACATCACCCTCGAAATGTATCAAGGATGATCTCGCTCAAATCCTACACATGGATAACGAAGAAGTGATTTTGATCGAAATGAATAAATTGCTGCAACAATATAAATTGTCAATGTATGAGGATGAGACTCAGACGCGCAGGCGCAAAGATTCCAAACCTGAGAATGCAGTTTCCAGGATACCTGCGCCTGTCATGAATAAATGACGTTGGTCTATACGCAAAGAAGGAATAAACAGGAAGTAAACTATTTCAGAAGTAGACTTAAGTAGTGATGTCATGATCATTATCAACAAATCGAATTTTAATTCTATCTGCTCAAAATTTATATTTTTAAATTTATTAGAGAGATGAACAATGTAACCCCAAGACGCCTTACTAGTATTAGCAACAATTTTAACAACAAAATCAACACTATTTAAACAATCACTCCTGATAAAAACTAAAGATGGCGCTTGAACAAAATATTCTGCAACACGCTTTGCATGTAAATGTCATAATGATAATTTCAGCCGTTGTACATTTTATGATTATTATTATATTATTATTAATTAATTGTTATTAATTAAGGGTGCTAATATCGCTTCTAACTTATAAGTCTTAAGTTGTGACGCTATATAAAATGATATATATTATTGTTAATCTTATTATTAACAAAGCGATTAACATTAACTGTTAAGTTCGGTATTTATATTGTTGTGCAAACACGGACACACTGTATCTCTTTAAAATGTTGTGTTTGATGACAATGCTAACAAGAATGTTAAATGTTTAGTATTATCACTATGTTGTATTACCAATATGCGCTAAACTATGATAACACATTTGTATTTACCATTATTTTGTTTAAATTTTTGTTTAAACTGAGAGGAGAGTAGAGGTTATTAAGCGTAAAATTACATTTGTTTATTAACCAAGGATATAGTGTGGTTTTTGTTTATTTATTCCTAGTGTGTTTTTTAGTGTTTTTGTTGGTGTGTTTTAGTGGCCAGAGTATTAGGAAGTAAAGTAAGTAATAATTTGTTGACAGATGTTGATTAGAATTTGTGGTAGTTGATAGGTATTTTAATTGGAGGTAAATTGACAACAACTTTTTTGATCTGCAGAATATTGAAGTGGTAAGTAGTGTAGAATATTTATTTTTACATGAAGGTCGTTTGAATGTGCCTGTTTGTGTTTTGTTTTAAATGATTATAGAAATATTTAAATTTGAGATATTTTTGTTTTTTGCTTTTTTTTTATTTTTTTATTGATTGAATAATTTTTAAATGTTTATTAAGTTTCATTAATATTATTAATAAACCTATTCAAAAATTAGTCTCATAGCAAATATTATCAAATTTTCTCCTTAAAATTTTAATGTAAATCTTTAAATAAAAAATTTTGAACTCTTTAACTCCTTAAAAATTGATAGATAGGTAGATAGAATAAAAATTTTAAATTTACGATAAGAAAAAGAATTTAATTAGCGAGATAAAGTATTTTTGGCAACGAGTAGTTCTTAGTATTACTTAGTGTTAGCTTGCGCTAGTCCGCATGCGTACTAGACTTTTTCCATTTTTCAACTTTTCACTCTACTATCTATTAAATCTACTAAATAAAAATCTGTCCGATTTATGCGTCCATGACAACATCTACCTATCTTTAAATAATTAAAATATTATAATGTCAAATGTCAAAGTCTATACTAAATACTATAATTCAAATATTTAGCAAAAATGCATTTGAATAAAGTACATTTCGAGCGAAACGAAACAAGAGGATCAATACGCTTACTTGAGAAATACACATTTGGGACCATCATACTTGCAGAAACTCAAGCAACACCCGTGAAGTATTATGAATGGCGAAAGAGAATATTCTTCATATTCCATCCGTTCTGGATAGTAAGTTTAATTTTATAAACTTAACATAAATAATAGTATATTAAGTATCACGTGCCTAAACTGGAGTTTTATTTACGAGATTGGCTTAGTAAACGTTAAATCAATCTAGTGTTTAACTAGGTTTAGTCACGTGATGTTGACGGCAAATACACAGGCGCCAGTTTCATCCCGTGACTAAAGTCCGTGACTAAAGTATTTTACTCACGGCCTAGGCTGTCCGTGCTTAAAGTACCACTATGTCTTCAAACTGTAGGAAAACCGACACTTTATAGGTGGAAGTAGACAAAAAATTGGTTGATATAATTTATTTATTAATTAATTATTTTGTGTTTTAGTTTATTTTATGCATATGCATAATATTGAGTTCTTTCATGATTATCCAAGGGTTAATTTTTGATGATGAATATACTAATGACCAAACAATGTTTTATTACATCTTTGAAGTGTATTTTTTGTGTGATTTAATCCTTGGAATATTACATCGGTAAGAAATAAAATTATTCAGAGACACAATTAATTCTTCAGTTTAAATTTCTAGGATTTGGAAGGACATTCAGAGTTTAAAACCGTATCCTCCGAGAAGTAAATTTAACATATTATTTTCTGTGTTGACTGTTTTACCGTATTACGAGACGTATTTAATCTTGGCTAATCCTTACGAAGAGCATGTCAGAGATTTCTGGAGAGTTAAAGTTTTCTTCAGATATGTAAATATATTAAAATATTTTTTGTCTGAATTTTATATTTAATTTAATACATATATTTTTTAGATAATAATTTACGAACATCTTTTCATCAGAAACTATTACTTTACGAATATTTCTCGAATAGTCCTTGTAATGATAAAACATTATTTTGTTTTAATTTCATTATCCGTCTGTGTTGGATTGTTATCGTTTGTTTTCTTGAAAAATTTAGACAATCGGATGGATTTTAAAATACAAGCAATAAATGTTTTTGATTTTGGTAACAAGACTGATAAGGAATGGTTTTTATTATTGGCGATATCTGCTGGCTATGATGTTACACAGAATTTATTTTGTAATATCGTTTTTTTAATTTTTAAGAATAATTTTTAATTTTTTTAAAATTTATTTTATTTTTAGACCTAATGCAACCACAAAGTGTTCTTGAAATACTCCTTGCACTATTAATATTTCTAATTGGTTTCTATTTACTAACGATAACATTATTTACAAGAGCATTATTCTTCTTTTCAATTTATCTTACCAACAAGCAAACATATTTAACAAGCAACTTTAAAACCAATCTTTTCATAAACTTCCAGAAATATATCAGGTACATTTATTCATTAATTATTAAAAATTTTTACTACGAAAAATATTTTTAGAAAAATATTACTCTGGATATTTTCTGGGATGCCATTCGTCATACTCACATCTTTAGAGATATTCCCCTCAACATAAAACGTACATTATCTTCAAAAATGTCGGAAATTTCAATGTCGGCCGGTGAATATCTATACAAATCCGGCGAAGCTAAACAAAAATTAATCTATATTGTATTTGGTAACGTGCATATTATTCATAATCATCAAATATTTTATCTAAGTTCAGGATCACTCATTTGTGAATTATCCTGTGTTCTGATGACACACAGTAATGCAGATATTAAATGTGTCACGGATTGTACATTTCACATTTTTGAATTAAATGAGTTTTATAAAGCAATAAAGTATTGGCCTGAAGAAAGAAAATTATTCCAAAAACAAATTATGGAAAGAATACAAAAAGCTAGAAATAGGAATAAAGTCCAACAAAACATTTCATCGTAAGTAATAGTATATTAAGTATCAAGTGGTTAAACAGGTGGTTCGGTCACGAGATTGATTCGGTCAATCGAATGTATAACAACCTGTAGCTACGTGACGCTTACGCTAATTTTTCACTTTATATCTCCGATGAGTTTTTGTATTTGAATTTTTGTATTTGAAATCTTTGAAATTCGCTCGCACTGTACCTCAAAATATAAGGTTATAAATGTGGTATTATGTAGATAAATGCGCAGGTGCATGCTCCACCCCATGACTAAAGGCCATGGCTAAAGTACTTTAGTTGTACTTTTTGTGTCACCAAACCCGTCGAAAACAGGCGCATTAAAAGTGGAAGTAGAAAAAAATTTAACAAAATTTTTATTTACGAATATTTAATATTTTAACATTTAAATTTTAATTTTTTAAGGACTAAGGATTTATTTTATTTATTGCAAACCCGATGGAAACAAATACAAGTAATGCATAAATCTAATCCTGAAAGTGTTACTGATTACTTGTATGAAATGGATACGACAATCACACACGAATATTTCGATTTTTATTGTTTAAATGATAATATCGATAAACAAATTGACGCTATATGTATTAGACATAAATTTCCTTATATCCTTAATGCATATTCATTTCCCCGGAAATATTTTCATTATTTATATTTATTAACAATTTTTATCAACGTAAGTTATTAATTTCATTAATTGTTTAAATTAATTATAATTATATTATTTTTTTCAGTTTATCTCGGTTCCTTACTGTATAAGTACTTTTTATTCTATCAATAGTTATTACTACGCATTATTGATGATTTTTGATATAATTTATGTCACTGAACTTTACATGGAGACAATTTCTTGTTTTTGGACAAATCATGAAATAACTAATGCTAAATATGTTCTCAAATGGAATGTGAAACATATAAGTTATTTATTAGACTGTTTTGCTTGTGTTCCACTGGATTATAAATTTGTATATGTGCATTTGTGAGTATTATAATATTAATTAATATTTTATTTTATTTAGGAGCGTGTTTCGTGGACCGCAGCGCCAATAAAACTTTTTTTCTCTTCCCATTTTCAAAGCGCCAGTTTTTCCACGATTTTTTTGCCAAAAAAGTGCTACTTTAAACCCGGACAACCAAGACAGTGACTAAAATATTTTAGTCACGGAATTTAGTCACGAGGTAGAGATTGCGCCTGTACATTTGCCTAAAAACTACAACGTGGAATTAACCAGATTTATGAATTTTATTTAAAAAATATCAAAACTAATGCATGGTTACACCAAATTTCCAATTTTTATTTTACATGGTTTCTTCTTGTTTCTTCCGAAGGAAAACGTTTACTGTTTATTTAAGTGGCGCTGCTGTGAAACCTCTCCTCTTAAATTCTATTTGTTTTGTCTTTAATTATTACTAATTTATAATTTATTTTTATTGAATTTTTATTTATTTTTAGGAATTTTGAAGCGTCCATTTTACGCCTGCGAACTTTAATTCCAACATATAAGTTGATATATATCATTACAAAATGGGAATATAAATCATCCAATTACACTATAACAATTTTTAAAATATTTCTCAAATATTTAATGATTCATATCCTTATAATTTATATTGGAACTTGTTTAAATTTATACATTTCAAAACAAGACAACAAACAAATCACACATTCTCTTTTAAATAGTTTTTATGTTGTTTTTTCTTCTGTTTTAAAAATCAATATTTTTACTCAAGATTATTTTTCTCAAACTATTCAAATATTCATGCTAACATATTTAATTCTGGGACAGTTATTAAAAATTTTCGCTATTTGTGAAATAACTACGACTAAATTACACCTAAAACAATCATTTGATCGTGACGATAAAAATATGGAAGATAAAATGTTGGATCATAAACATTTAATAGGTTTGTTTCGAAAAAATAAGTTTTTGACCGAATTGGATGAACATGTTTTGGAATATTACTGTAAAATGAGTAAATTTGCAAGGTTTTCACCTGGTTCTACTTTGATATTTAAAGGAATGTGGTCGGATTATGTTTATATTATAGACAGAGGGTAATTAATTACATTTTTAATTATTAATTGATTTGGTTAAATATTAATTAAATTTTTTGCAGTATTTGCGAAATTACATCAGATCTATCTCCAAAACTTAGAAAAACAAAGAGATTTATATTAAAAGCTGGTGATATGTTTCCAATATTGGAAATATTATTCAATGTTTCTTGTTTGGTCAAAATAAAAACATTAACCGATGTGGATATTGTGCTTATTTCAAAAGAACAATTTAGAAATGGTCTGAGAATATTTGGAATGGGATATTTTTTAGGTAAAAATATTTATTTATTTTTATTTTTAGATTTAGCTTGTTGTGTTACTGATTGTCTAAAATTTGATTATATTTTGTTGTAATGACTAAAATATTGATATTTTATACAATATGTAGCACAACAAGCTAAATTTAAAAAGTTATTTCCGTCATTACGGAAAAAGAATATAAAATAAATTACTCTAAATCTCTAAATTCTACTTCTACTTTTCCGGTTTTTCCACAGTTTAGAGACACAAGATGTAGTACTTTAAACACGGACGGTCTAGGTCGTGACTAAAGTACTTTATACCACTTGATACCTATTACTTTTAATTACATAATGATTGTTTTTAGATAATTTAACACCTGAAGTGTTTGAAGAACTTTTACCACGCACTGAAAAAGTGTTTAAAATTATTGAACCAACAAAACGATTAAAAACTATTGCTTCACCAATTTTTGGAAAAAAGTTTATACTACAACGTATAAAGACAATACATCCAAATGGTACCTTTTTTACTTATTGGGAACTTGCCAAATGTATAATTATTGTGATACAGATGATAATTATTTACTTCAGTTTTAACTTACTCTTTCCTTATTCAGTAAGTATTTTTATCGCTTTTAATTCAATATTTTTTTAATTAATACTTTTTACGTTTTTAGAAGTATATAATAATTCTTCAATATTTTCTGGATTTATTTGGTTTAGCAGATATTATGATTCGTTCATATTTGCAATATTACAACAAAAATAATATCCTAATCACTGAGGCTCATCTAACTTTTAAAAACTATCGCAGTACATCCATGTGGCTTGATATTCTTGGGATATTTCCATTTCGGTTATTAACATTTGATCAAATGTTCTTTGATGAAAACAGTTTTTATCTCGGATATCATTATCACATACTGGCGAGTAGAACGTTTCAAGTTTATAGAATTTTTGGGGCGTTAAATTACATAAGTGAAGAAAATAATAATAAATGGATTAAACTGGCTATTGATTTGATTTGGATCTTAATATGGTATTGGTTGATTCAATTAATTTTTGTTTGTTTATTTATTCCAAGAGTATGTGACATCAATGAGGTAAAATAATTATTTTTCATTTTTATAATATAATAGTCCAGTCAAAATACATATCAATATCGTCGCGGAATTTTTGGTTTTTGAGTTTTTTTGCATTTTCTAGTCAAAGTTTTAGTTTTTTTTCTTCTTAAAAGTGGCAATTTTTGGAATATCGTAATTTTAAATGCTTTTGTTGTATGCAAGACTACAAAAGTATGATTTTTTCTGAAGTTTTTGTCAAAAATTAATTTTTTGAAACTATTTTTTTTATTTTTAAATAAAAAATATAATTTGACTGGTTTATATTGTTACTGCTTGTGCTACTAAAAAAATAAAACAAATTTGTTTCAGAAAACATTTATACTGAATTGTACAAAATCACTCGGACTCACATCGTATCTTAAGCTAAACAATCCAAATGACTTAAATCTATCTTTATACCAAGTCACAAAGATATTAACATTAATATTCACCTCATTATTCTCTATGCAATCGCCACCTTTACTATGGATATTTAACGCAGAACATTATCCCTTACTAGTATTATTTATAACAATCATTTACATATTCTTCATTTACTTTTGCTCCACTATGATTGCTTTAATACTCACTTACACTTATGATTTTTCACTGGATTGCACCATTATCAAAACATTGGACTCATTTGCCACTAAAGAATACATCGACTTAGATCATATAAAACAAATTGTAAAAAACGTAAACTTTCAAAATACATATACAGATACGTATGATGATAATACATTAGGGAAATATTATAACACTCTAATGAATGTAAGTCTATTTGATGGTGACCCAAATTTTTGTAAATTTTTACTAACGAAGATAAACACTGTACGTTACATGAAGAATATCATAGTGATAAATAATAACGACGTACAAAAATTGTTGTATATTGTACATCAAGGTGAAGTAATTGTACAAGTTTCCAATGATGTTTTAACCAAATTAAAACGGGGTGGAATGTTTGGATGTCTTCATAAGAAGGGCATTACACGTCATACTATCAGAGTGACAACTGTGGGACCTTCAGAGTTTTTAATAATTGATTCGATCATTCTTGGAAAAATATCATCTGCATTTCCGAATGTTATAAAGAAGTTAAAAGCTGCAAGAAGGGAACACGCTGAATTTATAAATGAAACGAAAATAATGGAAGATGTGGAGTTGGGTATAAATGTACCAAGAAGTGATTTCAAACCATTGAAATCACGGTTATATTTGTTGATTATGAAATTATTATGGAATCAAGATGGTTTTCGATTTCAGTATTTCTTTTATATGCATTTTATTCCATTGAGTTTGTGTTTGATCATGAAACTGATGGTTGCTTTTCATGTGTATAATTATTTAGCATTTTTTCTTATATTGGTAAGTTTATTTAAAAATTTGTTATTAAGCAATAATAGCAATATTCAATAACAGAATATTTAGTATCAAATGCGGTAAACTTAACTTTAACCATGTGATCAATTAAAATAAGCGCAGAGTGTGTTTAACTTTGAACTTTTGTAATTTCAAACTTAGTCATATTACTTATGGCATTGTGCTGTACCGTAGGCAAATCCACAAACGCAAATACCACCAGTGACTTAAATCTGTGACTAAAGTACTTTTGCTACAATCCGTGATTACATTGTCACTTTTTGAAAATCTTGGAAAAAGCGGAACTTTAAAAGTGGAAGTAAAAAAATGATCTTAAATTTCTAAAATAAAAAATAAATTTCTTTTTAAAGCATAATATTTGCCAATGATGTTAATTTATTAACTTAAATTCAACTCAAAATAAACATTTTTGAATATCGCTAATATTGCTTCAAAACGTACTTTCAATATGTATTGATTAATTCATTATTATTTAATATATTTTCAGTTTTATGCAATCGAAGTTATATTCTGGTTACGCACAATATACCTACTAATTCAAACTGGTTCAATACGAAGAAAAGAACCAAAATACTGGTATTTATATCTACCATGGATTGATATAATATCAAGCATACCAATTGAATTAATCTTAAGGATATTTATAAGGCAACATTTAATTAAATTAGCAATATGGAACCGACTCTTCAGAATGCTGCATTTTATAATTTATTATTATAAAAGAATCAAAATTATAGCAGATAATAGATTAATACATATTTGGTTTATATTCTATTTGAATTTATGGTATATATTCTTCGTTGCAATGACCTGGTAAGTATCTTTTAATATAAAATATAAACATATCTTTAAAAATGTGATTTTAGGGTATTGATGATTTGTGATCGTAAAAAATGTCCCTATTATAACCTCAATCGAAGAAAAATAGAATTCTCAGATTCCTACGCTGAAGTAGAGGTGAAATCGCTGTATTTTGGAGTTAATATGTTGATTTCCGGAGCGAGTGATATCATAAGTCCGATTGGTCATGAAGACTTGGGATTATATTATTTTTTGTATGAGTCTGGAGTGATGATTACGATTGCACATTGCGTGATTTTTGCACAAATATGTTTTTTGTACAATTTTGGACGTGGTTGGTTTTTTAATCAAGTTGAACTCTTGATAAAACAATTAAAGGTATGTTTATTTTATTACTTTTCCTATTTTCATCTTTAAAGCCAGTTTTCCACTGTTTTGATATGAAAAGTGGTACGTTAAACACGGACGGTCAAAACCCTGACTAAAGTACTTTAGTCACGAATTTTAGTCACGGGGTGTAGTTTGCGTCTGCGCATTTGTTTATACAAATACAAAAGTTCAAACGAAATTGTGTAAGCATCACGTGGCTAAACGTTGTTAAACACTCTATTAACTAAATACTCGCTATGCTCGTTTTTAATCAATCTCGTGACTAAAGCTGCCATTTAGCTACTTGATACTTAATATCCTATTATAGTTACACATTTAATATTAATACAATTTTATTTTTAGAAAGTTTATCTTTCACCGACTTTAGTACATCAAACTTTACAATATTTTGAAACTCTCTGGAATGTTCTCCGTGGGGAAATTACACCCGAATTGGTAACAATGGCGCCGTTACATCTACAACAACCTATTTTGATTGCATTCTTTGCTAAACATATTGAACAACATTTTCTCTTTGCTGATACACATATTGATTTTCTCCGACAGTTGTATTTGCATGTACAGAGATGGTTTTTGATATCATCACAGACGATTGTATATCAAGGAGATGTTGACTATTGTAATAATTTAATTTTATTTTCATTTTTTTAAGTTTTAAATGTAATTTTGTAATTAATAATGTTTGGTTATGTTTAGCTATGTATTTCATTACCAGTGGGATGGTTCAAGGCGCCCAACTAGACGGTGACAGAGAAATTAAATTTTTGTTGAGGAAAGGCGAGAGTTTTGGAGAATTGAATGGGTTGTTTGGAGGGCCACATCGTGCGACGTACACGTGTTTGACTTCCGTGGAATTGCTTGTATTACAAAGAGACAAGTGGGAGTATTTGCTCGAATGGTTCCCGGCTTCCAAGGCGCAGATTCTTGAAATGGCAGAGCGGTTTAGAACAGTTGCAACTTTACAATTATTACATGTTCTAAAAAGCGATTAATAACTATAACGAAGTATAGATACACAGGAGACCGAACGCAATGTTAAACGAATGGTCTCGGTCTAGGGAACAGAACATTCACCGATTATTTTATTAATACTCGTTTAAATTCTCATGTTGCTATGGATAATAATCACGAAGTATAGAAACACAGGAACGTCATGTTAAAGGAATTATCTCAGTGTTGCTATGGACACGAACCAGCGTACATTGATACATTCTCAAACCATGCACAGCCAATAGCAGAAAAGGAAACTGTGATTTGTGTAATAAGCGAAGTAAAGTGAACACTTTACTCTACACCCTCAGCATATCGTTATCATTCCCTTAGCCCTTTCGGAAATGTCCTAAAATCCTTTTAAAACTTGGCAGTTTAAAAAAAAATTGTAAACATGGTGTGGAAAACACCCTGTACTTTGAGAACTATTTGACTTTTTTGTAGTTTCATCTTGCCATGTTAAAGCTCGTACGTCTCTCTATACGACACATATTTTTTCCTTTTGTCCTTTTAAAATTGACATTTTGCAAAAAAATTGAAAACATGGTGTGCAAAACACTCTGTATCTCGTGAACTAATTAACTCTTTTTAATTTCTCACCGCCAAATTAAAGCTTGAGAGTTCCTCTATACAATTCATGTCTTCTCAATCTTTCAGCCCTTGGGAAGTGCCCTAAAATGCCCTTTAAAAATTGGAATTTATGAAAAAAATTGAAAACATGATGTGCAAAACACTCTATATCTCGTGAATTAATTAACTTCTTTTAAATTTCTCACCGGCATAATAAAGTTAGAGAGTTCCTCTACACTACGCATTCCTTTCTAATCTTCCAACCCTTTCGAAAGTGCCCTAAAATGCCTTTTGAAAATTGGCATTATTGAAAAAAATTGAAAACATGGTGTGAAAAACACCCTGTAACTTGAGAAATATTTGACTTTTTTGAAGTTTTTTACCACCACCTTAAAGTTCGAGAGTCTTTCTTTGCAATCCATATATTTCTAACACCCTAGCCCTTCCAGAAGTGCCCCAAAATGCACTTCAAAAATAGCTATTTTTGTTCCAAAAATTTCATTTTTGTGTCGAATAACAATGTCGAACTTTTTTTGTAAAATTTTTATTCGGCCCAACAACAGGGTCGAACTTTTTTGTAAAATTTTTTTCGGTCAAACAACAGGGTCGAACTTTTTTGTAAAATTTTTATTCGGTCGAACAACAGGGTCGAACTTTTTTGTTAACATTTTTTTTCGGTCGAACAACAGGGTCGAACTTCTTTGTAAAATTTTTTTTGATCGAACAACAGGGTCGAACTTTTTTGTTAAAATTTTTTTTCGCGCAAAGAACAGGGTCGAATTTTTATCTTAAATTATTTTTGGTCAAATAACAGGGTTGAACTTTTTCCTTAAAATTGTGTTGCTCAAACAACAGAGTCGAACCTTTTTCTTCAATTTTTATATTTGAAACATGAAATTAAAATATAAATTAAAATTAAAAAGTATTTTATTTAATTATACAATTTAAACAACTTTATACCTAGCAACAGTAAGGATATTTCCTGTAACCCTCATTAAGGGAAATGTGCACTACCATCGAGACTTAAGAATCAATTATCTCAGGAACTAATTGAGATAAACAAAAACCAAAAACACCCTGATGTTCAGCATCAAATCCTAGATCAGATAACATTAAAAAAATTTGAAATATAACATGTGTCAAAAAAATTTTCCGCCGCGATTTTCTCAGAAAATAATAACGATAGAAAAGAACTTTCTTCATTTTGTTCATGCCGTGATATGGATCAACAAAATGGCTGATTTAGTTTTTCCATTTTCCAAAGTTGACCCTAGACCACTTAAAAACATCAAGAGGTTACACTTGACTCTTTTTGGACTCAAAAAAATTTTTTTAAGCTAGAAGAAAATGGAAAACGCTAATCGATTGAGTTTTCCAAGGGGATGAAAGATATGAAGTCGGTTTTCCGATAATATCATTATTTCGGAAAATAGAGCTTTCCGAAACAGTTTTTCGCGCTTAAAAGCGCAAAATAATGATGTTATCGGAAAACTGACTTGATATCTTTCATCCCCTTGGAAAACTCAATTGATTAGCGTTTTCCGTTTTCTTCTAGCTTAAAAAAATTTTTTTGAGTCTAAAAAGAGTCAAGTGTAACCTCTTGATGTTTTTGAGTGGTGTTTGGTCAACTTTGGAAAATGGAGAACTAAATCTGCCATTTTATGGATCCATATCACGGCATGAACAAAATGAAGAAAGTTCTTTTCTATCTTTATAATATTCCGAGAAAATGGGAACAGAAATTTTTTTGGGCATATGTTATATTTCAAATTTTTTAAATGTTATCTTATATAAGATTTGATGATAACATCGGGGTGTTTTTGGTTTTTGTTTATCTCAATTAGTTCCTGAGATAATTGATTTTTAAGTCTCAATGGTAGTGCACATTTCCCTTAATGAGGGTTACAGCAAATATCCTTACTGCTGCTAGGTATAAAATTGTTTAAATTGTATAATTAAATAAAATACTTTATAATTTTTATTTTTATTTTAATTTAATGTTTCAACTAAAAAAAATGAAGAAAAAGTTTCGACTCTGTTGTTCGAGCAACAAAATTTTAAGGAAAAATTCAACCCTGTTATTCGACCAAAAAATTTAAGATAAAAATTCGATCCTTTTCTTGGCCCGAAAAATATTTAACAAAAAAGTTCGACCCTGTTGTTCGACCTAAAAAAATTTTAACCAAAAAGTTCGACCCTGTTATTCGACACAAAAATGAAATTTTTGGGACAAAAATAGCTATTTTTGAAGTGCATTTTGGGGTACTTCTAGGAGGGTTAGAGGGTTGAAAAGATATGTATCGCGTAGACATACTCTCGAACTTTAACATAGCGGCAAGAAACTACACAGAAGTTTAATAGTTCTCGAGATACAGGGTGTTTTTCACACCATGTTTTCAATTTTTTTGAAAAATGCCAATTTTTAAAGCGCATTTTAGGGCATTTACGGAAAGGTTAGAAGATTGAAAAGATATGCATCGTGTAGAGAGACTTACGAGCTTTAACATGGCGAAAAGAAACTTTAAAAAAGTCAAGTAGTTCTAGAGATACTGGGTGATTTCTACACCATGTTTTCAATTTTTTTGAATATTTCCAATTTTTAAAGGGAGTTTTAGGGCACTTCAAGGAGGGGTAGGAGAATGTAAAATGATGCAATGTGTATAGGGGCTTCCGAGCTTTAACATGCGTGTAAAAGATATTTAAAAAACTTGCTAATTTCGCAAGATACAGGGTGTTTTCCATACTATGTTTTCATATTTTGTGAAAGACGTCAATTTTCGAAGAGCATTTTAGGACATTTCCAGATAGGTTAGAAGATTGAAAAGATATGTATTGTGTAGAGCACCTCTTGAATCTTAAGATGTTGGTAAGATACTTCAAGAAAGTCAATTAATTACTGGAGTACAGGGTGTTTCTGACAGCATATTTTTAAGTGTTGTTAATTTTGATAGGTACTTTAGGGCACTGCCAATAGTCGTTGGGGTGTGAGGAAAAATCTCATATAGTAAAGGTAATTATTCTGTTTTCACCTATAACACCTAAAATATAAAAAATTTGGTCTATCAAGGGAAAAAAGAAAGTTATAACCTTATTCTGACATCTAGTGGCATCGTACAGAAGGTTTTATTGGATAGCTTATAAAGCGTTCTCTACGTAGCACTAAACCCTTCAATTGTGTTTGTGCCTCTGATAGGGAGAGGGCGACAGTGGTATTTTATAAAATAAATTTTTACGCTAAATAAATAAATAAATTGATATTCCGATATCAATTGTTACTAAAAATACAAAAAGAACCAATAAAAAATAATCACAAAAAAAAATTACACAGTTAAACTTAATTTGTTTTCAATTTATTTATTCTATCAATGAGCAGTTTTTAACAAAACTAATAACAAATTTGTCTCTAGATACAAAAAGTTATCTTTGCCACATGTTGAATTCAACTTATTCTATTTCTGTACAATTAGTTTCCAATGATTTACAGATACAAATCATTACGCTTAAATTTTGTTCAGTCTTCTTGAGCATTTTCACAACAATAACAATAATTGTTCAAAAAGTCCCGCATCAAACTCCTTGGTATGTACAAAAATTAATTACATTATCAATAAACTATTCCAAGACTACTCTAACATATATAAAACTAACTTTGTATAAATGCGAATAAAATTTTTAATAATTGGCAACTAGTATTATTTTACTGCTAGCATATGACATTCGAATTAATAAAACTACTTGATTTGTGCTTAAAGTTATCCTGGTCTTTAGAGCTTGAGTTTTCTGCAGGTGTTACATTTACAGAATGCGCTTGAGTTAGACTGGTTGCATCCGTTGCGTCTCCGTTTTCTATATTTGTTGAGATTCTTGATCCGTAAGCGGATGATCTTCGATTGAGACGTTTGAGAGGTTTGGGGTTTGATGAAGATTGTGAATTGTTGTATTTTTTAGCGAGGCGTTGATAGTCTTCGGAATTGGTGAATTTACGTCCGAAACGAACTGTACTGTAGAAACCGATTAGGAAGAGGCTAGCAATGAAGAGAATTTGACCTGGTTTTAGGACTACTGAAGCTCCGTAGACCAAGAGGTAGATGTCCATTGGGATACTTTTTTGATTCTAAAAATTGATAAACACAAATAGTAATATGATAGAGTAAAATATGATAAAATGTTTGAAATGTTTAAAATGTGAATTTGAGTATTTTTGTATGTTTGTGACACAATCACGCAAAAACCATTTAACGAATTTTAATAAATTTTGGTATATAGATAATTTCAACCTTGGAAAAGCAAATAGACTACTTTTTGTAATAAAAATTTAACTGCAAAGGTGTAAAATTGGTGATGAAAGTTGATATGTAAATTTAATCATATTTTTAGTTATATAATTCCACTCGAGATGGCGTTTAAGTGCATTAGTACTCTATGTTGCTAGTAATCTATTAATAAATAAATAAAAAATATAAATCTTACATATTCCAGCCAAAACATTGGCAAAACTCGATTACTAAACTGCAAAACACCATCAGAAAATCCTCCTAGTTTCCTTACAGCTAAATTGGACTGACTGCGAGCCACTGAGTGAATTGGTACTCCAGTTATCTACACAAAAAATAATTAAACAACAAATTAAATTATCAATTTAATAATTATTATCAATATTTAATTTAAGTACTTACAGGTTCAACGTACACATAACTTGTATGTAAACTCCTATTGGGTCGCAGACCTTCCAATTTTTCCGAAACCTTAGAATCGGCATATAGAAAGTGCGGAAATGATGCAACAATTGGCACATCTATAGAATAAACATTTACTCTTAAATCGCATTTTTAACACTTATTAATTAGTTACGAGTATGTACATATGTACACATGTTTTGACGTCTTCAAACAGATTCTGTTTGCTGAACTCTAACATTAGATAATCTTGAACTTGAACTTATTCCGAAACACATGATAACTTAATATTTGATCAATAAATTAAGAAGTTAAATACTTTTTTATTTCTGTTTTATATTTCCTGTTTTGTTTAAGATTATTTTATGACAAAGAAATGTTTAATTTTTCATCAGTTAAAAATGTGAATAATTTACAAAATTTGCAAATATGATGTTTTTTCTATCTCCACCATTAAAGTTATTATAGTTATTCCGCGGTTTTGAGGCACAAAAGTGGTGGCCATGGCTAAAGTACTTAAGTCACGGACTTTAGTCACGGGTTGGAACTTGCGTCTGCAAATTTTCGTACGGTGCAGCACAAGACCATATAAAGTGTCATGTGCCGAGATTAACCTTACATTTCCCAGTAATATGCAAACAAAATTCAAAATTTTAAAATCCAAAAGTTCAAATTTAAAAGCCTAAACATAGAAACAAATTGGAAGTAGAAAAAATAGTGTTAGCATTACGTCGTTAAACATTGTTAACCATTCAATTAATTAAACGTTTCCTACGACCGTGGTTAAAGTGCCATTTAGCGCACTTGATACTTAAAATACTATAAAAACCAATAAAAACAAAATAAAACATTTTCTGTATAAATACTCACTGTACATGCAATTCGATACATCTGTCAAACCATTCGGTAAACTAGGTTCCCCTTTATAGCAATCATCAAACGCTGGATAAGTCCTATCATAAGAGTTATTAGGAACAACGTAGAGGTAAGTATCTATACCTTCTCGGACTTGGTCACCTTTAAATTAATATTTTATAATAAAAAAAAACATAAAAAATAAGTAAATAAAAAATAAAAATAAAAAAAACTTACTTTCATATATTAACTTGACAACTTTACAAACAGTTTTCCTCCAATAGTGCAACACAGACTGCCGGGTAAGAAACTGTCCATAAACCACTCCTTCGGTAGCATTTGTCACTTTATCCGCACACTGTTTATAACCTGGTATGTAATCACTCCCACCGACTTTCTCAATCAGTGAAAATCTTTCCGGTCCGTGATCTGCACCAACATACATCGTATAAGTATCTTCAAAATCTTGATATATCTAAACAAAATATAAAAATAATAAAAATAATTTATTAACACAAAATTAAATTTAAAAAAATTTTACCCTTTCCAACATGCCGATATTTTTAATCGGTGCTAAATGCGGGATTAATTTATGCGCAGTAGACAAAATCGGATCCGTGAAATTCCAGAGAAAATTTTGAATGGTCATTGTTTTAAACATGTCAGTTTTCAATTGGCGTAGGAGTATATTAAAACCCAATTTTACGAAAAACGGAGCATCATGTAAAAACGTCGCCATACTCTAAAAATTAAAAAAAAAAAATTCAAAAAAATTTTCAAAAATATTTTTTTAATTACTTACCAAAGCAGCATAATTTGGCACAGTAATAGTATCATTCATATTAACCTTATTACTCTCCTCCCATAAAATAGCAGTATGTTTAGCAACAAACGTAATAGTATTATTATCATTCCTCGTAATATTATGATGACTCAATATCTCCCTGTATAAAATAGGTCCAATCTCTGCAACTTGCAACACATCCACTTCCCCGTTCAAAAACGCCTCCACATTGGTGTAATTATAAACATAAGCACTCATCACCACCTCATCAGGAGGATTCGCCCATAAATCATACGGTGGTAATCCTTTATGCATGCGTAATCTTTCACTCATTATAATCTCAAATGGCGTCCATATACAAAAAATTATTCCTAATATTGTAAAAGTCAAAGCGCGAACTAGTAAAAGAGTAGTTCCACATTTTACTTTGGATCCTTTCCGGTAGAACATTTCGGTACCATCTCCATGGTGGTGATGATGGTGATGGTGATGGTGGTGATCAGAAGATACTATTGTTGGTGTGATAACCATTTTTATTGATTTGCATTAATTTTAGTTTTAAAATTTGTGGTAGTGTTCCAAGGTGGTTCTGAAACATAAAAATGCATATTAATATTAATTATGCATTAATTTTTTTAATAATTATGTTGTTTTGATGGTGCTATATGCACAAATTCATATTTTGTTCTCGATGTTTATTGATAGCACGGCGTGACATTAAAATTGAGCTGTTGAACTATAAGTATGGATGTTTCAATATAGGTGTCAACAATCTGGGTTATTGATACCAGTTAGATTCGCTATATCTGCCAAATTAATGTGCTATTAATATTAGATGCACTTAATAATAATCTATAGTTACGTTGGCCATATTAGATGCCAAAATTTGAAAAAAATGATTTTTTTTAATTTTAAAAAATATTTTCGAAAAAAATCAAAAATTCAATATTTAAAAGCATCTATATATATAAAATTAAACCCGTTTCGCGTTGTCAAGCCATAACATGAAAACGGCTAGACCGATTTGGCTGATTTTTTTTTGGCAGTTTTCTAATACTCTGTAGAAGGTTATTACGGAAAAAAATATTAGGAAAATGTCTCAGAATGATTGAAAAAAAAATAAAACGCGTTTCCCGTTGTGACGCCATCTATGTGTGAGATTTCAGAACGCATATATAAACTTCGCATGACTTATTTAGTAATCTGTGGTAATTTGTGACATACCCGCCGCGCCAACAATATTGACCGGTTGATGTTTTTGTTTGGAGAAGGAAAGTCGCTTTCTCTGTCTGTCCCTTTGTATGCTTAAATCATTGAAACTACGCAACGGATTTTGATGCGGTTTTTTACTTCCGTGCGAAGCCGGGGCGGGTCGCTAGCGATGTGACTGGCAGAGAATGCCTTAAGGCATTAAGTCCGCCTTTTGTACAATATTCTTTTATTGTGTAATAAAGTTTAAATAAATAAAAAATAAATAAGGCGGTACGAAGTTCGCCAGGTCAGCTAGTATTTTATATATTTATTATACGTAGACTCGAGTAAACAATTGTTTAATTAATTATTTTGTTGTTTATTAGTCTAATTATGTTGTAAATCCGTCAATTAAATCTGACTCAATTTTTAAAGAAAAATGAAAAATGGTAATGATTTACATTTTTATTATTTACATAAAAACTATTAAAGATAATTTAATTTTGTAAATTGTTTTATGAAGATTATCAAATTATTAACCTCTTGTCAAAATTTAAACATTTTCCATTGTTAATATAAAAGTTATTCCACTTTAAAGTTGAGGTAAAAACATTTGACAATAAAATTAATACTGCACGGTAATATTCCAACCCGAATCATAAACTAACCTAAAATCTATGTCGATTATATAATTTTCCACACTGACACACTTTGTATGCATAAATTTACGACCGATAAAACTAGATAAAAAACTTAAACTTTAGATTGGACCCAAACAAAACTTTCATCTCTTAAAATATTCCTCGACGCTAAAAACAGAGAGAAGAAACCGACGCAGAAGAAGAAGAAAGTCATCGAGTGTGACTTTATCTTCTGACTTAATAACTATATGACTTAAGTTAAGCAGTGCGCATTCTGGTCTTCGGCGACAACTGTTACACGTCTGTTGCGCACGACCTTCCGAATAAAAGTGAAAAACTGAGTCAAGGACGCGAAATTCTGCCTAATTTAACAAATTTTACAAATTCAACATTTTAGACAAGATACATGTTATACTTGTTACACATTTACGCATGCATGAAATACAATATTTCGCAAAACATAAATATACAGAGTAATAAAAATTTAAAAATTTAATTTTGACGTTTTTAGAGGTTAGAATGTACATTTGGTTGCCTATCTTACAAAAAAATATTTATTTTATTTTCACAGAAGTCTATTGAAGGTTTCCTATATATTTTAATTTAATAAACGTCTCTCAATAAAATATATTACAATAATTAGTATATTAACAAGTTTTAAGTCACGTTGCAAACAATAGAAACCAATAAATGTATAAACTAATCAGAAGAAAAAATATATAAAACAAGGATGTGTCGTGTGTCGTGTCACGGTCGGCCATTTGCATCTCTTCTTCATTCAAGCGCATGTGACTTAACTTAAGTCTACTTGACGCTTGAGTCAACTTGCCTCCACTTGTAATGAGCAAACTATTTTATTTTGCGTTGTTTATTTCTTATTTTGAGTCGTTAGTGCGTGTGCATATTTTATTATGCATTGACAGGCTGACCACATACGACAATTATTATGATTATTTTTATTATGTGTGCGTTATGTAATGAATGTGCAATTATTTCGTGATGATGAATGTACAATGTGATGATTGATTGAAATAAGTACAGTTTAAATGTTGCTTGACATTTTTTTGTTAAAATGCAGAAAATATAAAAAGTGAGGAAATTATGAGAAAAGAAACAAACTGATGACTTAATGTTGTATAAAAACATAAATAATCATCAAGGTGCCATTAATCACTGCAATTTATAAAGATACAGACTTCCGCATTGTTGTTGTTTATTATTAGATGTTGGTTTTGATGTATTTATTTGTTTATAGCTGTTTATAACAAAATTGTATTTTTAGAAAAAGTTTTTTTTAATTTTTTATATTTTATTTAATTATGAGAAAACTATGAAAGATAATTTAATTTTGTAAAATGTTTTGTATAGATTATTAAATTATTAATGTTTTGTCAAAAATTTAAATAATTTCGATTGTTATTATAAAAGTTATTGCACTTTAAAGTTAACGTAAAATTTTTATTAAGTATTTTCAAAAAAAATATAACTGCATTTAGTTACTATTTCTTTTATAACTCACAATTGAATTAAAATAAATTAATTATGTAATATTATTCTAAAAGTAGATAAAATTACCTATCCTTTGATGTATTGCACATAAAATTTTACTTCGTATTAAACTCGCAATCAGGTTTTAAAATCACCGCACTAAACGTAAATTAAAAAATTAAATTTTGCTTTTTCTAACAAATTGCGTCATAAAACATAAACTAATAAAAATAATTAATTTTTATAAAATCACATACTATTATAAATAAATTACACACATTATGACAAAATTTGATTAATTTCACTTGATTAACACAGCCGTAAACCGCTGTCAAAGTTGACCTATTCAAAATCCCAAACCAAAATCTTATTTTTTTAATTACTCCGAAAGTAATAACAATAAATCAATTTTGTAAATTAACGTAGAAAGAAGTTAAAATGCTCTCTGTTACAAAATGCTCGCCTTCAAATTTGACCTAACGAAAATCTCGCAATCTCGCTTTAAAGTCAAAACATCCCAATAACTCAACCCACCGGCCGAGTAATTCAATTAATAAAAGCGCGCGCTCGCACTTGGAAATAATTCTGATTAATTGGCAATTTATTTAATTGTAGCGCTGATAGCGAGACATGCTTTGCGGTCGTACCCGTGATTTACTCATTTGCGTGCGCGCAATTTCACCGACATGACATTGAAACCGAAATTTCGCAAGAATCAAATGCGCGTGTGTGGCAAGCGCGCAATTTAATTACCGCCGATAAATTATTGCCAGCAAGGCGGGCAAAACATTTAAATATAAATATATATCGTCTTAGATCGACGAAAATTAAGTTTGAAACAAAACACACACGGCGATGGCGCAACGTTTCATTGAAAACGCACATTTGAGGTTAAGTATTTCGAGTTGTAAAATTGTAGTAAATTGTAAACAAAGCAGGTGCGAAGTGGCCTGCTCAACTTTTACTCACCAGGTTTTAATTACTTAATGAGTGTATGGAGTGAGTTAAGTATTTTATTGTTTTATGATGTTTTAAGCGAGTTTTGAACGGTAGTGAGATGAATGTTTGAAAGTTTCAAAGTTGTAAAATGATTATGAATGTTGTAAATATATACGGAAAAGATTTAAAGCTCGCGCATGCGCAGCAAGTTGAATTTTAAGCGTATGTTTGGTTGTGATACAATTTTTTGTACTTTTTTTGAAATTACGGACTGAATTTAATATTTTACTAAAAACTTTTACAAGTAATTTATAGTGTGTGTTATTTTCTTTCAATTTATGTAAAAATTAAACCGCTACGATGATTAGTTTCGGCGTTATAGAAGATTTTATCTCAGAAAACAGAAAAAATAAAATTGAAAATTTTCATTCAAACTTAAATAAAACATAGTCTAAGTAACCAACACAATAGTAATTCAACACATCTAATGTGTGATAAATTTCCTTTTCAATGACACTTTAATCAATATTCTACCATTTTAATTAGTTAAGTTATAGCGTCTTAAACTCACAAAACATTTTAAATAGCAGTTAATTGCGTTTCTCGTCATTTTAACGCTGCAATATAAAAAAATACACACATTTAAAAGTAGTATATATAATATTTGGGTATTTTCATTGCTTACAGCTAAACTAATTAAATTTTGTGCAATACATTACACATCATTACTGACATTACACAAATGACGAATTACGAATTACGAATCGATATTGCGAGAACGCGAGTTCGTGTATCGGCGTTAAAAACCTCGGAGAACATTATAAACATTATATTATGAGCAACGATTACCAAATATGAGAATATGATTTTTGGTTGCTTTTGGTTTGTGGAGCTCAGGTCAGAACTCGGGCTTAAGCTAAGGCGAGTCAAGCGAAAGAATTTCACAACGTTTATTAAAGAAAAAAACGAATGAACGCAATGTACGCAGAGAAAAAAAAAACGAAAAGTAATAACAAGTTTAATATTGTAACTAACTTATATCAAAAAATGTTTAAATAGAATAATAAACCTAGTGTTATCGTTGGTATAATCAGAGTATTATTACTTGACGCGGCAATGGATGTAGCACATTTGATTTTTGTTAATAATTTGTGAATCAATTGATTTATTGTATTTATTTTTTTATAAATCTATTAAGTATTAAATTCTTTATCTTTTTATGTGAAGATTTTGTTGATTACTAAGTTATATCAATAGTTATAGTTAATTTAATGTCACATTTCAAAATTTTAAGTCTTTTCTGTTTTGTCAAATTAAATTGTTTATAACT